ACTCAAAAGCTGAATATCCATTCTTCAGTTCAAAATCTAACCGGTTGCTTAGTTTCGAAGACTGGCCCCTCGTTATGCGACAAAAGATCTTGCAAAAGCCTGTTTCATTTATAATGGCCATGCAGAAAGGACCAAGTGCTTCCATTATGGTTGTGGTTTAAAAGATTAGGAAGATGATGATGACCCTTGGCAGCAGCATGTTCAGTGATTTGGTCAGTGTGCTGGTAAGTACTGTAAGGTTTAAACCTTGCGAATAAATTTTGCGGTCGTTATTGTCTGCTCGAGTTTTAACTAAGATCAAATTAATAAGGAAAGTTTTGTCAGTTCCTGCTGGTGCATATAAAAAACACTGTTTGCAAAATTTTGACCTTGCGGTTAAAATTTTGCAAACAATGTTTTGTATAAATTTAAATAGGGGGTATATAAAGAAAAAAAAATATTGCATACAATTTGTTTTATTTAATTTTATAATGTTAATGTACATACATACACACAGAATGCATTACGCATAACACATAAATCTGACACACAACACACATCATCTTAACCTTAACCGCTATAGTCTACGGTAACACTTCTGTTTTCATCTATTTCAATAATATTATCAAACTCAGCATAAACTATACAGTTAATTGTTTGTATTAGTAAGGATTGAAATCGTACTTCTAATCTTACACTACCATGCTTTATGGGCTTCCAATGAGATGATGAGTTAGCTGATAAATGATGAACTAGATGTTTTCTGTCACAGATCCCTCGTGCTCTCTGAAACTGTGAAGTAGTAGTAGTTAACTGTGAAGGGTGATGGTGAGATTCACCATTCAACCGATATTTAAATGGTGAATCTCAACAAATCTTTGTTTCAGAGAGCACGAGGGATCTGTGACAGAAAACATCTGGCCGCCGAGCCGCAGCATGTCAAGCAAATGTTGCAAGACAACAAGCTTCGGATCCCGCGCTTACGTCAAAGTGACCGAGTGAAGCCGGCCACAGTCGAGCGTGTGCCTGCTGTACTACCATATGTCAGAGGAGTCACAGACAAGGTTGGATACATCTTGAAGCGAGCTTCCATTAAAACATACTTCAAGCCGCCGAAGAAGATTAGTCAATTTTTACCATCCGTCAAGTGTAATATTCCCTCTACAAGATGCAGGAGTGTACAAGTTAGATTGTGAATGTGGTCTCTCTTACATAGGACAAACAAAAAGATCCATAAAAACCCGCGTGAAAGAACATATAGCTGACGTGAAGCACCGACGCTCCGGGAAGTCTGCAGTCTGTGAGCATGTTTAAGATCGTCCCCACCATTACATCAGATTTGATAAACCTCCTCGCAAAAGAACACCGATTCCTACCAAGGATGATACGCGAGGCTATTGAAATTAAAAAAACATCCTAATTTTAATAGAGAAGATGGTTGGGTGCTGCCATCTGCTTGGGATCCTATAATTAACAAAATTAAACCCAAACCCAAGCATACCACTGCAAGACTTCAAGATACTGTAAGTTCGTTTTGCGTAAATCAGACCAAAAAATAATAATCAAAAACTGAAGGTAGCCGGGCTAACAATGACATTGGGACGTCAAACATCTCAGTCCCCCCCCTGACCATGGTTGCTGTAAAGCACCCGAAACGTCGGGAATTAAAAATAAGTAAAATCAGTTAAATAAACGCGCTAGAATCCGTAAATTTAGTTTTATTCAATGTCAAAACTTTTACTTCAGCCCGAATAGGATAGGATAGGATATTTAGCAGTGGTAGAAGCTTAAACTTTTTGATGTGTGAGTAATACACTTGGATTAATTCGAGCTCGTTGGCCAATAAGAGTTGCGTCCGTAATGTAAACTTTAAACTTTACATCGTTTGAGCCAGCAATCAAATTAAAACTCTCTTGATCGAACTAATTTTACACTCATTTAAACACCATTAATTAAGTATTTATCTTGGTTGAAAATCACCGTGAAGACGTCAAATCATTTCTATTTCTTTACTTTCACTAACCAATTCCTGTATTTTAAGAAATCCTATATTTTTATCATCTGTAGAATCCTTTTTTCCTGCTGTATCCTCATACCAAAGACTACAAGTAAGATGAGATTGTTTAGCAGCAGGAGCATAGTTTAAAAAGTTCCATGTATGCTCGATATATATAGGTATTATTAGGTGGTGATACAAGTTTTTGGTTTAAATAAACATCAAGTTGACTAAAAAGTGAATGCAGGCAATTTACAGGTGCTACTACTGTAGACGATATCAAGTTAGTTGAATCTTGATTTAATACTTTGTCTTTATGTCGAATAATGTACGATACAAATCTATGTAGTCATCACCTGTCCCAGGAACTTGATACTCTATAGGTCCATCATCACCAAGAGACGAAATTGGTTTATAGTAAGTCCACAATCCATTTTCAATGCTTTTTTGTATAGGCGGTAGTGCAAGTAAATCCAATTCTGGCTTAACGTACTCAAAAGCATGATATATTTTTTGGTTTTAGACCAAGTGTTTTCGCAGCTTTCACTTTAGCAGTTAATGGTGGAATGAACGAGACCAGTCGTTATCATTTAGTTATATACCCAGATTCATGTCATGTTAAATTGATCAATTTTATCATCGGCCTTTCGTTTCAAATTCGTGCTAACTTGCTTTAGATGATCTTTTATTGAGGCTTCCATAGGACGCGCTTGAACCATATCCGATAAGTCCTACTCCAGCGCTTAATGCCTCCTTGATCACTCAATCACTCGAGCACCACTTGATAGTAAAGATAAAACTAATCTAAATAACTGCCCTAAGAAGCTCCTAATATCATGACCGTGTTGGTATGGTGAACACTTATAAATTACTCCAACTCCTGACCCAGCTTGATGTGCATAATAATTTTCATATGGACATTTATGATGATCACGATTAGAATTCATTATTATAATTTTCGGAAATGTTGTTTAATATACACGGTTCTAAACTGGAATTGTATTTTTGTCCTGTGCTAGATCTTATAACTACTGTATTTCCAGCTTATCGAACTCTCTTTGCATAACAGGTAAGTAGTGAGGTGGAGAGAAAACGTGCATTTTATTTGCATTATAAATGTATTTTGTAGGATCTAATGAAACTCTTAGTAAAGGAGTCGTAACATCACCCACAATCTGAGCATCGATAATATCGCAATATAGGAATAGTTGAGATTGTAACCCTAACTGTAAATCAGCAGGACACTTTCCAAAATTTCTCCCTAGGAGATTTTTATTTGGTTCATAACCTAGTTGTAAACTTAATTTGGGTGATAATGTTACGGATGATATATTTTTATCCAAAACAGAAACAGACACAAATTTTGTTATTTCATCACAGCAAATTTCAACTTTTCTCCGATACCATTTAACGCTCTTAAAATATGCTCAACCTTATCATAGTTGGTAGCTGGAATATCCTTTTTGTAGTACACTGTGGATGGTTTATCTTCAATAGGCATTAACATGGATTTTGTAATGTATATAACATTTTCATGATCTTGAACAGTAAACATGGTACATGTGTATTGAAGCTCGACAACTCGAACCGACTATTCACCTAATTTCATAGCTTTTGGTAATTTCGTTGAAAAATTTGTGGTCTTGCTATCAGGAAAGTATTCCATTGAACTATTTCTGAGCAAAGTTAAATAAAAACTTTCTTTATTCATATTTGTTTTACACTAGAAGCTTTTTTTATAGGATGGGGTGACAAACGAGCACACAGGACACCTGATGGTAAGTAGTTACTGCGACCCGTAGACATCTACATCTATCCTCGATTACGAATCAAAATGCAGATGCGTTGTAAAATCTAACTGTTAAACTTTCCACTTCACTAATACTTCTTTTCTGCCACCTGAATAACGAGTGTCAATTATTTTATCTATTTTGTATTGTGAGATGGGGTTTTAAGTGGTTTTCTGTAATTCTTTTTTATAAAAAGTACCAACTATTGGTTCTAATTTATTAAGAATATAAGAATTAGGTTTCAAGTTATAAGAATTAAAATAGTTATATTACTAGATCGTGCCCGTATCATAGTTATATTCCTAGTAAAACAGTTACGAACCGCTGTCATAAATATAACTATATTCCGTTATATATCTATATCTCCAGGGATATAATTATATCACGGCTTCAACCAACTTACTGCGACATGTATAAAGTGGCTTACAAATAATTGTTCTGGTCCGAGATGTTTCGTCCTTGTGAAATTTTATATGTGAAAGTGCCTCACGATACAGGATAAAATCGTAGTGTTACCGTTTACGGAAGATTTTCTTAAAAAAAAAGTTTATTAATTTAAGTTGTTATCGGAAGATATTGCTGCCCATCTCCTGCAGGTGCATCGTTCGACGTGGTGATGTGAGGGGGGGGGGTTACGAAGGGGTTACAACTTCTCTGTGGAACTGTTTACCACCGGCGATTTTTCCGGACCGATACGATTTAGGGATCTTCAAGGAAAAAGCTTAATCCTTTTTAAAAGGCTGGCAAGTGGCAACGCACCTGCAATTCTTCTGGTGATGCGGTTGTTCGTGGACGGCGGTAGTCAATTGCCATCCTGTGAGCCGCATGCTTGTTGGCCTCCTCTTCTATAAAACATGTTGTGGTGACAAACAGGTGACATGTTTGTGTGTGTGTGTGTGTGTGTGTGTGTGTGTGTGTGTGTGTCTGTGTGTGTGCGTGCGTGCGTGCGTGCGTGCGTGCGTGCGTGCGAGCGTGCGTGCATGCGTGCGTGCGTGCGTGCGTGCGTGCTGCGTGAGTGCGTGCGTGCTTGCGTGCGAACATGCGTGCGTGCGTGCGTGCGTGCGGGCGTGCGTGCGTGCGTGTGTGCGTGCGCGTGCGCGTGCGCGTGCGCGTGCGCGTGCGTAGTCATCCGGCGTTAAGATGTGGGATGTGATGACATGCTCGTGTGTGTGTGTGCATGTGTTCGTTCAGCGTGGTAATGTGGGAGGTGATGACTTCCGTATATGTATGTGCAGGTGGTCGTTCGGCGTGGTGATGTGGGAGGTGGTGACGGTGGGCGGCGTGCCGTACCCAGCGGTTGCGGCGACGCGGCTGCCGCGCCTGCTGCGTGCCGGGTACCGCATGCCGCGCCCCGCCAACTGCACGCCGCAGCTGTACGTATACAATGCCGTCGGATGTCGACACGCTTTTATGATTAATGCTTATGAATAATTTTTTAGAACTGTTCTCTACGCTACATGTATAACGCACAATCGCCTACAACTACGCCGTAGATCATCATTGGCGTAGCTTGGATCATTTTTAAGGAGTGAAGAAGCGATGGCAGATTAAGCCTAAGCCCAAATTGTAAAAGCATTTTCAACTTGAAGTATTGAGCCACAATTCGACTATCGGCTTGCGAAAGGTGTTTTATTTCGAATACAGCATTATTTTTATTTCATATTCCTGAGATGGAAACCTGACTCCAGTAGCCCCTCAATACGTCAATGTATGTTTAGGTTTGAGTCTCAAATTGAAAACGTTTATGTAAAGACACAAACTTAAACCGTTTGATTTATTTATTACCATTATCCCCGTGCCTCTGACAATTTATTTATCATATATTTACTTATTATATATACAATTTACTTATATATTATAGTGTAGATAATATATATTATAGTATAGATAATTCCAGTCAAGATTTGTACAAGTAGCACTTATTGCTGAGTCTGATGAGGTTAATGAAATTTAATTAATCTGCACCATAAGCCCAGTCCTTTATGGCAGCCTTTTATAGTATTAATTATAATTTATTAAAAAATGTTATTAATTTTGTATTGGAAAATGCCGTGGTTGTGCACGTTGAACAGGAGTTGATGACCAACATAAGGTCGATTAGGAAACAAATAAATTTAAAATATGCTATGTATGTTACAATTTTTTTAAAGGTACGACCAACAACGAAGAATAATCTATGTATCAAAAACTTTTTGAACTTTCTTTAAATTAAAAGAAAGTCTTATTTAATTTTAATATTACATAAAATGTATAGATTACCAACTTTGCCGCAATTCGAAATTCATTGCCTTATTTATGAACCTTAAGTGCCATCCCACAGTTCCTAATAGGGTTGACATATCAACAAAATAATAATAAGTCCCCTATCGACCCTAAGCCCTAATATACAATACCTATAATCTTACCACTATCCCTGTGTGCTAGTTACGAAGTGATGATGAGCTGCTGGCGCGCGCGACCGTGCGAGCGGCCGACGTTCTCTCAGCTGCACGCGCGCCTTGATGCGCTGCTGGCGGCCGCCTGCGCTGACACATACCTTAGCCTGGATCTGCCTGCTGACACGCCACCCTCGCCCACACTACCCGCCACACTGCTTAGGTACGATCAACACACAGATCATAGGAACAACAATTGTTTCTATGATCAGTGTGTCAACACGACACTAGGAACGGTCAAATTATTTTATTTTCAAAGAAATATCTTTTATCGCTTTGAGAGTTTAAAACAGGTTTTTTTTAATTACGTGGTAGATTCACGCTGCGGCTATATTATGGTTGTAGCCCGAATGGGTCGTCTCGACCGGGGTAGGACCACGCTCCCACAGAATACCAGCAGCATAAAATAGCAGCTTAATACTGCTGTGATTCGTATGGTGATTGTGGAGACGGGAGACCCTTTTTATTGGAAACACGGCATATCATTATCATAGTCCTCATGGATGACTACGCATCTGCTGTTTCTTTCTTAATTGATTATAAATGTAGATGTCTATGGGCCAAAATATCCACAATTTAAAAAAAACGGTTTTACAACATAGTTATTCTTTATTAAATTATAAGAGTTTCTTATACATTTCACCTATATTTTAATAGGGTTTCCAACGCCGACTTTAAAAATGCGCCTTATAATGTGACTGTGTTTTTTTTAGTTATGTGTGATGTGCTATCTTTGTCAAACGTGAACCAATTTAGAAGATTATTTTTTAAATTGGTTTGGTTTTGGTTGGTGGATAACATTTTTATTGTAACATTAAAACTATGTTGTGATATTCCTAATTCCAGTGGACGAACACTCGAAAGGATTAAAGAATAACTTCTATTAAAAAGTAAAAGCCGACTTCAAAGAACTAAAGGGATCGTGGATGATGGATGCCCAGCAGTGGACTGTTATGAACTGGTGAAAAAATAGAAGCTTTATCGATAGTAAATCAATAGTGTGATTTAGGGTGAACACTATTGATTTTTCTATAATAGGTTTACAGAAAAATGGATAGTGTTGTAAGTTTTTGACATTTCTTTCCTTTTTCAGAAACAAACGCGTGTGGGAACGTGGAGAAAGTTACGAGAAGCCTAACGCTTTAAGCAACCACTACACATCGCCGCCAGTCACGCAACCAACATGAAATACAAATCTGTACATAGACCGGAGATATTTTTCTATTAAGTAAAAATAAATCATTATAATTATATTTGTAACAGTAAATTAAAAACAATTGATCTCCCTGAGGTATTTAGATGTGAGATGTGGAGCATAAAGCACCTATCGATATTTTATTCAGCTTATTGTTAACATATTAAGGGAAGCTGCAGTAGATAATTACAAATTACGTTGTTGTAGAAGAAAAACTATAGCAGCGTGGCAAGTAAGGGAAATGAAGCTCGAATGAGTTACCAGATATGGATCCCACACGGCAAACCTCCGTATTATATACATCTGGCGTATTGTATGAAAATATGTATGAGACCAGAAAGCGTTTTATGTTTCAACTTAAGTGGTGTCAAGATAATGGGATACAAATCAAACAGAACATCTTGGCCAAACATCATAAGTGTAAAGGCTTCAAGGCGTTTTGGAAACACACTAAAAAGTTTTATACTTGTGTCCTACCTACTATGTGTCCTACCTAGTGTTCAGGGACAACGTGAGCCCGGTGAGATAGCCGAATTATTTAAAGATATTTTAATGTTAAGTCTTCAATTGTTTCGACGCAGCAAGTGCTCAGTGCTGAAGAAGAATTATGTAAAAAAATCACAGGATTAAAACTAAAAATATAGCTCGAGTAATAAGTGAGATGACTAGAGGTAAGTTTTCCGGTCATAATGACCTCTCAGCATTTGCACATCCGCATTCTGCAAGTGCTTAAACTTGCAGAATGCGGATGTGCACTTGCCGAGGGTGTTAACTCTGTTGTTTTTTTTATATAGCTGTTTGTTTATTGACATTTTCTTCTTTTTACTTTAGTTGCAAACGTGCTGGATGGTTTGCTTGACCAGCAACTCCGCCAACACATTCACCTACATGAAGTCGAGTCTTTGCTGAACAGAGTCCCGGATTGGGGGCGGCTAAATCTAATCCAGTTTAACCCCCAGAAGACACAAGTTTGCGCGTTAACCGCTAAAAAGAACCCCTTTGTCATATCTCCTCAGTTTCAAGGCACTCCCCTTGTTGCGTCAGCCAGTATCGGAATCCTCGGCGTCGACATATCGAGTGACGTGCAGTTTCGTGGTCACTTGGAAGAGAAGGCCAAATTGGCCTCTAAAAAGCTTGGCGTGCTCAGCAGAGCGGGACAGTATTTCATGCCGGCACACCGTCTGCAACTTACAAGGCGCAGGTTCGGTCGCACATGGAATACTGTTCCCATCTCTGGGCTGGGGCTCTCCAGTACCAGCTCCTTCCACTTGACCGCATCCAGCGCAGAGCGGCTCGAATCGTCGACGACCGAGTGCTTTCCGATCGGCTCGATTCACTGGCACTGCGAAGAGATGTTGCATCTCTTTGCATTTTCTTTCGCATATACTATGGAGAGTGCTCTGAGGAATTGTTCGGATTAATCCCAGACGCCAAATTTCGTGAACTCACTACGCGGCAAATGTCCCGATACCATCCACACTATCTGGATGCTTGGCGGTCCACCACTGTACGTTTCAAAAGGAGTTTCCTTCCGCGTACAACCTCTTTGTGGAATAGTTTACCACCGGCGATTTTTCCGGACCGATACGACCTGGGGACCTTCAAGAAAAGAGCTTATTCCTTTCTAAAGAGCCGGCAACGCACCTGCAATTCCCCTGGTGTTGCCGTTGGTCATGGGCGGCGGTAGTCACTTAACATCAGGTGAGCCGCATGCTCGTTTGCCCCCTTTTCTATAGAAAAAAAAACATGAGGCTCAGTTTGGTTTAAGGCCGGTACTTTCAACTGAATCTGCCATACTGCGACTCAATCATACTATCCAGTATTACAATACGCGAAAACGCCAGTTTAGGCGTGTTTTTTGGTCCTGTCGAAGGCATTTGACCTGGTTTAGTATAACGTTTTATGGGAAAATCTTAACCTCGAAACTAGCACACCCAAGAAAGTGATTAACCTTTTCAAATATTGGTATCACAAGCAAACCAACTGTGTGAAGTGGGCAAACTCATATTCGTAGGAGTACAGGTTCGAGTGTGGAGTGAGGCATGACGACCTTAGCTCTCCACAACTCTTCAGCCTGTAATGTATGTCAACAGTCTGGTCGTTGAGCTCAGTAACGCCGGAGTCGGTTGCTCAATTGACGGTAATTTTGTCAATAATGTATCGGACCTCCGAAACGCGAGTGGGTATCTGTGAAAGGTACATGGCGGCTCATGGTCTCAGATATGATATTTAAAAAGCGAACTACTCGTTTTTAAAGCTGGAAATAAAAAACCCAAATCTGTTCCTCATGTTAGACTTGGAAGAGTTGAGACATTGAGTAGAGTCACCAAATTCAAATATCTTGGACACTGGGTCACCGAGGATCTCCCTGACCATTTATATGTTGTACGGGAACGTAAAGTGAGGTGTAATATGCCTTCCCGCAGGTTTGTTAGGTGTACGAATGAAGTTAAGATAACATTATTCAAAGCTTACTGTCAGACATTCAACGCCTACAGCCTGTGTACGAAGTGTACTTTCTCACCGAACTCTCAATGCGTTACGTCTACAGTACAACAATAGATTCAGGGTGTTGTTAGGGCTGCCACGCTTCTGCAGCGCATCGCGTATGTTCGCTGAAGTGCATGTGGACAGCTTTGTAGAAATATTACGCAAAAGAATAGCCTCCTTGACGTGTAGCGTGCGAAACAGCACAAACAGCCTCTTAGCTTCCATTTACGGAAGGCTAGATTGCCCTGTGATGAGGCACTGGAACACAGTACATGTGGGTTCCAGGCCCAGTATGTTTTATAATAATTTTTGTATTGTATAATAATTTCTATATTCTGTTAATTTACTAAAACCTAAGTGTACTAACAAAATGGGTGTATTTACCTGAATGATAAATAAATAACAATAATTAATTCAAAAATGAAAAGGTACATAAAATTTTTGATTATAAATAGAGATTACATTTTTACTGATAACGTTTAGATATTAATGCGTCGAATGCTTTTAAGGGCCTATACTAACTCAGCTCAAATTCTAATTTCACCTACACTTCCCCGCGCGTCGTATGCTATGAACCGACATGTTTCTAATCACTGTAAGTAGGTAGGTCGTTAGATACTTATTTCATTAGGTTTATCATATTTATGCCTGTTTCTTTACGCCAACCCAGTCGCTTCTTATTTTTATTACGGTTATTTCCCATTTTAATTTTACGTCCTCCTGTTGCGTAATGTGTATTCTGATCGTAAGCGACACAGCTTTCCCGTTCGAAAGCCGAAACGAAACTGATCGGGTGGCAGGGAACAAGCTTGAAGACGCCGATAGTTTAGGTAATTTCGTTATACATACAATTCTTTCGCATATACCATGGGGAGTGCTCTGAGGAATTGTTCGAATTTATCCCAGCCGCCAAATTTCGTGAACGCACTACACGGCAAACGCCCGATACCATCCACACCATCTGGATGCTTGGCGATCAACCACTGTACGTTTCAAAAGGAGTTTTCTTCCGCGTACAACCTCTCTGTCGAATAGTTTACCATTGGCGATTTTCCGGAAAGATACGACCTGGGGACCTTCAAGAAAAGAGCTTACTCTTTTCTAAAGGGCCGGCAACGCACCTGCAATTCCCCTGGTGTTGCGGTTGATCATGGGCGGCGGTAGTCACTTAACATCAGGTGAGCCGCATGCTCGTTTGCCCCCTCTTCTATAAAAAAATACGGTGAAAATAATGGTAATTTAAAAAAAAACGTAAGCCCTGCTTTATAGTTCAGTTAGTATGCAAAGTTTCATGATCTAACTTTAAAGTATTTTATGAACACCAGCGGTTTATTGTTCAGTTTGAAGGTAACTTTGGATTTTTTTCTATCGAGAAAATTTCACGGAATCATGTTTTCGTCTTACATAGTACTTAACATTAATCCTCTACTTTAACATGTATTTATTTCACAATTAATGCTGTAATATTTTCGGCATAACGGAGGATCTTGCTAAGCCATTTGAGGTAGTATAGGCCTTTAAGTTATAAAAATATATGTACTTAAAAGCAATTGTCATACAACGTGATTATTATAATCCTTTGTGCGTTGGTGTTAAACAATAGTCAAATGCCCAAAAGTGCAAAAAATAAAAATATTATGTTTTTTTTCTTATCATTAAGAAAACGTTATGCTCACACTAGCATTTTCTCCTGTAACGTCGAGTGTAGTTTAAAAGAATAAATTTCACATGGACAAATCCCGAACAATTATTTGTAGGCCATATCTGTTCTATGTATGGGTGGGTTTCAAACTCGCGGCACTCAGCGTCGTAATTCTTTGTGTTACGTCACTGTGTCACGTATTGAAATTGACGAGGTCAACGATTTTTGTTATGAAGTGTTTGTTACAAAACTAAAGAAAATTCCAAGAAAAACTGTGTTTTATTTTTTTCCTATCTTAAGAAATGGCTATGATAATGAACATTAAAGTGCGCTTTCTGGCGCGATGTTATCGTCAAAATTTGACCGGCCCATTGACTAGAGAATCTCCAGTCAATGTTCTACACGCATTTACATTTTATTTAGGTAATGATATATGTCATGACATAGAGCATGTTATGACATAGAGCAGATTATCTACTAAAAAAAAAACATAAAAACCAACCTCGACTACAACTTTTGTAAGGAATCGCCATCGGAAATTTCTTTTTTATTTATAGGTTCGCAAACTGGACCTTACAGAAAACATTTAAACGAAAACCTTAATAAAGAATCCTGATTAGCTAAACGACCTTCTTCCATAGTAGCATGCAAGTGAATGTGTCGTAAAAAATTAAAATGAAAAATGTAAAAATTATAAAAATTGTTAAACAACAAATTAATCTAAATTCATCACGCTGGACAGGCGAATTCGTAAGCGCAATACCGTGCCGCTCTCACTGGTAATGCTACTTACATCCTCAGTCTGATACACTGGTACCATAGACTTAGTATCCTTCATCTGAGACTGGTACTGTACTGTA